GGGGGGGGAAGAGAGCTGGAGGTGTTTTGCATTCCTTTACTGTGGGCAGAAAAGGAGGGGGTGTATGATTTCTTCTTTTCAACTTTCCATTTCCTTGCTAGCCTCTATCCCTTTTTGCGCAGCTGCGAAGTCTTATTCAAAATATGTCAAGGTCAACGGACAGAGGCCTCATCACCACCTGAAGATGCCCACATGATCATATTCAGAACTTTTAATTGGAAGAGACTTCTGGATTTCGGGGGGTGGGAACAATTCCATTTCTTTGTATGTGTGATCTGCGCGCCAAATTCTCAGTTTCAGAATTCCATTTGTAGCTTCCTTTTCATTCTCCAGTAAAAGGATAACTTTGCTCTGATCCATGGAGTCTGGGTATTTCTTTCTTGGATTTTGAAAGGAGCACACATTGACAACAGCTTCCATCCTGCAATGATATCTGTAACAGCATCAAACATCCAAATTTGCCTATCCCAGGTAAAGACTCGATAGGTAGACAAAAATGCCAAACCCAGTCTGAACATCTGACTGGCTGTGCGATGAATAATAATAATAATAACAATAACAACAACTATGACTATGTGAACTAAAATACAGAAAACAAGAACATTATTAAAACAGAAGCAAAGGCAGAATATAAGGAAAAACAGCTAGATAACAGATTAAATAGATGGAAAACCATAGCTTTGCATGGACAGCATTTGAAAAATATTTAAGGAAAATATGATAACAACTTAACATGGGCATGGCTTAAGATGGGAACTATCAAGAAAGAAATGGAAGGTTTAATACTCACTGCTCAAGAACAAGCATTACAAACTAATGCCATGAAAGCAAAGATACAAAAAACCACTGACAATCCAAACTGTCGGCTTTGCAATGACAAAGTTGAAACTGTTTCACATTTAATATATGAGTGCAGCAAAATTGCGCAAACTGATTACAAAGCTAGACATGACCGAGTTGCTAAACTAATCCACTGAGCATGATGTAAAAAATATGACTTACCTGTATCCAAAAAGTCATGGGAACACAAAGTGGAAAAAGTTGTTGAAAACGAGAAGGTGAAGATCTTGTGGGACTTTCGAATACAGACACGTCATCATTTAGAACACAACATGCCAGATATCACAGTCATCAAAAACTGAAGCATACAATTTATTGATATCACTGTACCAGGAGACACCAGATTCAAAGAAAAAGAACTAGAAAAAAAATCACAAAATATCGTGACCTGGCCATCGAAACTACCCGATTATGGACGAAACATCTGACAGTGATACCTGTTGTCATCAGGGCCCTTGGCATGTCCAAGAATTTTACACAGTACATCAAGAAATTGCAGCTTCCTGCAATAACACCAGCAGAATTGCAAAAAAGCTGCACTACTCGGAACATCAAAAATTTTAAGAAAATACTTGGTTGATACTGGCAGCAACCTGTATCAACCATCAGTGCCAGTTAATAATATTTGTGATACATTTTTAAATTACCGATTTAATAATTAACAATAATTAATTTAACAATTAAATTTACATCTCTGTACCAAATGAAACAATAGAAATAAAACGTATCTGAGATCTAATCTGGGTTGGTCAGTAGAGCTTTTGGACTTGTGCAGGATCCCATTCTCAGGGAACTGATTGGATCAGATTGGGTCTTGCAACATTATCCTGGGACACGTATATTTGTCTTCATTTGTAAAATGTAATTATTTACTTGCAAAGAACAAAAAAGAAAAAAAATTCAATATTGTAAAGTTAAAATCATTTTTGGGAAGAATGTGCTTCCTTATGTTTTTCTAACTCCTGAAATCTATGTTTAATTTTGAAGACAAGCACTATTCACCAAAATCAGGAAAAAACAGGAAAGGGATGTTTCCTTAAAACATTTTCAATTAAAACTTCGTTGTTGTTTCTGAGCTGCTTGAGACAAGGAATATCCAACAACAAATCTTCATAACACCAGGAGTGGAGCTATTTCCAAAAGTTTATTATTGATGGTTAAGGCCACTTCTCCACATTATCTATGGTACTATATATATTATTTATATTACAAGTAGTACTTGCTTAACCACTGGTTGCTTCGTGACTGATGGACCTCCCCACACTCTACCTGTGCTCCAGTAATGGGATTCAAATTTTTTTACTACCGGTTCTGTGGGCATGTCTTGGTGGGCTTGGCAGGGGAAGGTTACTGCAAAATCCCATTCCCTCTCCACCCCACTAACCTGATTTCCAGCTCTGTTCTCCTGTGCAGGGCAACAAAAGAAGACCCAGCTGATCAGCTGGGACTCGGGAGGCAGAGAATAGATGGGAGTGGGGCCAGTCAGAGGTGGTATTTGCCGGTTCTCTGAACTACTCAAAATTTCTGCTACCGGTTCTCCAGAATTGGTCAGAACCTGCTGAATACCACATCTGCTGTGCTCCAATTTTTAAGTTCTGATGTCCACAAACACACCTGTGGTTACGTGATTGCATTTTGGGTGTTTTGCAACAGGCTCACATTTACAGCTGTTTGCTGCATCCTGTGGTCACATGACCACAGTTGGTTTTTTTTTTTGCCTGTTTCCATTGCTTTCTTCCTGCTTCTGGCAAAAAAAAGCCTCATTGAGTGGCCATTAATTTAATGACCACAGTGTTCACTTAATGACTGGAGCATTTGCTTATCAACCATGGTATTCACTTAATTACTGCTGTAAAATTAGGCACACTCAAGAGGTGACCCCCACTTATTGACCTTCACAACTTATAACCTAATTCAATTATGGTTTCAAATTGAGGACTACCGATATATTGAATCACAGGATTCCAGCAATAAACAAACATAAAAAACCCATCATCTCATCACCTTCTTTTAATGACCCCATAATCCCTTGTGGAGTGGAGTCTGGGCAACTGAATGGAGCTGAGTGTTTACTGGCTGGATGCCCTTCCTGTAGCCAATGCGGAGTTATATTCAGCAGATATATTCTCATGTGCCCAGAAAGAGAAATATCTGCCTTTACCTAGGATCAAACTCACAGCCTCTTGATTGTGAGACAAGAGCTCCACCTCTAGGCCACTGCACCACTAAAACATAAAAACCCATAATCCCCCATAACATAAATTAAATTAAATCAAATTAAAATTCAGTTTGAAAACATCATCACACACAGAATAAAAGAACTGAATAATTATTAAAGTCAATCTTGGTGTCCCAGTGGACCATCACCTAAGTATGAGGTGGCAACAACCAAACAAGCTAATGCAGTTCAAGGTTGCATCAACAGAGGAATGGTGTCAAGATCACAAGAAGCGACAGTACTGCTCCATACTGCACTAGTGAGGCCACATTTGGAATACTACATCTAATTCTGGTTGCCATGATAAGAAAAGATGCTGAGAAAGAGGGCAGAGAAGAGTTACAAAGGTTAAGGGAACTGTGTATGTATAGTGTAACGAAGAGAAGGATTGGGGGCGGGGGTGACATGATACCTGTCTTCTAGTACTTAAGGGGCTGTTACAGAGAACAGGAGGTTGATTTGTTCTCCAAAGCTCCAGAGGTTAGGACAAAAAGCTGTGGAAGCTCGTAAAAAAGAGATCCAATGTGGAATTAAGGAGAAATAGTTAGAATAATTAATCTATAGAATGGCTTGCATCCAGATGTAGATGCTCCATCACTGAAAGTTTTCAAGGAGAGATTGATTTGTCTAGAACAGTATAGGTATAGAGCAGGGGTGTCAAATTAGATTTCATTGAGGGCCATATCAGAGTTGTGTTTAACCTTGGGGAGACTGGAGGGGCATGGCCAGAGGGCATAGCCAGCTCAACATCACTCATGTTAGGGGTGCTGGTGGTGGCCCGAGTGCTCTACCAGTAAAAAACAGGCTCCTGAGCTCTGTTTTCAGCTCCGATGGCCTCCTGCAACCCTCTGCCAGCGAAAACAGAGCTCGGGAGGGCCACGTACAGCCCTCCCAAGCTCTGTTTTCACTGGCAGTCCTTTGCTGTATCCAGGGTGACCCCATGGGCCAGATCTAAGGACCACACAGGCCAGATTGAGTTTGATAACCCTGGTAGAGAGTCTCCTTCTTGAGAAGGGGTTGAACTAGAAGACCTGCAAGGTCCCTTCCACCTCTTTTTATTCTGTATTATAGATCCCTGAGAATACATAATAAGAACACTCAAATAATGGTTAGGTATTTGGAGGTTCCATGCTGCTGAAATCAGGTATAGTTCCTTTTACCACCTTATCTTTTCTGTAATTTTTAGATATATGGTTAGATGGCTTCCAGGCATAAAGACAAACTTCAACTGAATTTTCTTTTGGGCTCAGAGGTTCCCTACAGGCTACATATAGATATTAAATAAAAGGGGAAAGAATCTTGAGTCCCATGCATCTCACAATGGAGAGCCCTAGAGCTTGAGGAAGGGGGATGCACAACTTTGCTTCAAATCTGGTCATACCATTCACAACTCCCCTGATCTATCACCGTGACACCTCTCTGGGGATTTTCAGAATCCACAAAGGGCAGAAATATAGTCTGCAGGAGGATGGAATTAGTGTCACCACAAAGCCTGTCCCTTCTGCAAGACTATTAGGCTCAAATATATTCTGTACAATGATGACTCAGTCACCTTAATAGGACATGCCAGGTAGCTTGTGAGCAAACCTGAGTGGTTTTATCTTCCAGATGCCCAACAAATTTCTCAGGATTCAACAACCATTCTTTTACCCTATTCCCTCCTTAAAAGGGCATGAGATCACTTTAAACAAAGAGGTTGGAAGGCCAACTATTCGAGAAGAAATTTTCCCTAGCAGATGACACAATTTGCTGAATGTTCCTATTACCCTTATTTATTGTCACTAAGATCAATGGATTTTCTAACTCATTATTAGATATGTATGACTACGATGAGCACACCGAAAAGAAGCTATAGTATCTTGAATAACTTCTGACAGCCATACAGTTTCAATTTGGTAAAAATTCAACTGAATGTGAACTTGGTTGTCTACACCTTAGTAGAGGGCAGATTGTAATAATCAAAGGAAACTGATATATAGTCTTTTTACTTCATAAATTGTGTAATTGGAATATTACCCCCCTCGTCTCAGTTAGTGCATGGTTTGCCATGAGCTTTTATGATTTGTACCTCACCTTAATAGCAGTAGATGTTACTTATTTTTTTGTCATGCAAAACTAATAAAGGTATGTATCTACCATGATTATTGCAACTATTATTACTATTAGAAGACAAATACGTGACACCAGAATTCCCAACAAATACACGTGCACTGAGCTTAAAGTCACACTATTTTGCATTCGGAATACTGCATCTAGTTTTGCTCATCACAATCTAAAAAATGTTGAAACTCTAGAAAGAGTACAGAGAAGTGCATCATAAGATGATTAGGGGGCTGGAGGCTAAACCAATGAAGAACGGTTGCAGGAATTGGATATGTCTAGTCTAGTGAAAAGAAGAACTAGGGGTGATTTGATAGCAGTGTTCCAATATTTGAGGGGCTGCCACAAAAAAGAGAGGATTAACCTATTTTTGAAAGCACCAGAAGGCAAGAAAAGAAACAATGGATGGAAACTTAACAAAGAGAAAAGCAACCTAGAATTAAGGAGGAATTTTCTGAAGTGAGAACAATTAATCAGTGGAATGGCTTGCCTCCAGAAGTTGTGGATGCTTCACCACTGGAGGTTGACAACCATTTGATCTCTAAGGTTCCTTTCAACTCTGTTATGTTATTATTCTAAATAGATACAGTTGAAAGTTGTAAACAAGGGTCTTCAATTTTTATACTCCATTCTACATTTCTCTCGCAAGAAAACTGCAGGGACTTGTCCAGGTGGTTTCCAAGAATCAGATAGGATTGCAGTGGTGGTGGTGGGGAATATACAAGTAGTCCTTTATTATTTCTGACCACAATTGACCCTAAATTTCCTTTGCTCAGCAAAGCACTTGTTAAACGAGTTTTGCCCCATCTTGCAACCTTTTTTGCCACAGTTATGAAATAAATCATTGCAGCTGTTAATGAATCCTCCAGTCATTAAATTGACTTTACTTGTCGGAAGCCAGCTGGGAAGATTACAAATGGTGATCACATGACCCCAGGACAGTACAATGGTCATAAATACATGTCAGCTGCCAAGCCCCTGAATTTTGATTACGTGATCATGGTTGAAAGTGTGAAAAAAAGTCATGTCACTTTTTCCAGTACTGTTGTAAATTCAAATGGTCACTTAGCAAACCATTATAAACCGAGGACTATCTGTAGTTTATTGCTATACCTGGAAATGGGATAATTGGGATTGCACTGTCAAGTACATTAAAAGCAGATTCAGATTCAGCGGGTTTTCAGCAATTATTTTGTTTGCTACAGACAAACAACAATAATGAATCATCCTCACATGGTGAATGTTGACAGATCTAAGAAAAATAACGAGCTGTCCAACCTTGATATAATTAAGAACCTACCTTACTGCCTAATTAAAACTCTGCCTATATATCACCACATGGTTGGCAAATCCAAGGCTTGTATAATTGTTCTACTGTCATTGATATTTTACCTCATTCCTCATTTATCTCAAACCATGAAGGCCTTCTGATACTTCCCTATTACATCCTATGCTCTCTTTGAATCCTATACTTCTAAGTTAACCCAAATCTGAGAAGTTTCACACGGACCTGATGCTCACTTTTTGAGAGATATCTTTTAAAAATGGTTTTGCTGCTGAACGTATACAATTGAAGTAAAGAGCTAATCCCCTGAGGTATCCCTGTAAAGTAAAACGAGATACAAAGCACAGTCCTGTTTTATTCAAAGGTTTGTTCAGTTGATTTCCATGGAACGTGGTTATATTTATATTTAAGAAATAGTGCAACACTGGATCTGCTGAAAATTCAGTATATTTCTCCAAGTTAGAGAATGGAGAATGTGATATGTACATTAATAGCAAAGTCAATGAAGTTTTGTATAGCAGAGAAATTAACATACATTATGATAAACAAGTGCATATAAGGACAAAAAAAACAAGTGTATATAAAGACAAAAAAATCAAAATGATTTAAAACAATTACCTTACCTGAATCGCTATTAGATCATCATTATTTAAATTTAAATCTTCATGAGATACATTTGGATTCTTTGCACTACAACCTTCTTTAATATACAGAGTATCTGAATCATTTGCTGTGGAAATATTAAAGTGATTTCTCTTAGAATCTGCAGTCAGAGAAATATCATGGCAGTAAGAATGAAGAAATGCTTGAACTCCGTTGATGCCTACAAATTGTGATGCAGGTACATCACTGAAATTTATCTTCTCAGATTCTACCTTTGATTTTCTCCATCTATATACCCTAATTGCCAGTAGCACAAGGAGAAAGGTAAAGAATAAACAGGAGACAAAAGCCACAACAGTCCCTAAGTAAAAAGTGAGATCTGTTTGAGGATCTACAGGAGCTGAGATGTTGCTCAGATCTGAGAGGATTTCAGGAAAGCTGTCAGCCAGAACTACTGTGAGAGTGATGGAGGCAGAGAGAGGTGGTTGGCCGTTGTCCTTCACTAAAACCACCAGGATTTGCTTCAGGGCATCTTTCTCCAGAAAAAGCCGAGCAGTCCTGATCTCACCCGTGTGGAGTCCCATGGTGAAGAGCCCTGGTTCTGTTGCTCTGATCAGCTGATAGGAGAGCCAGGAATTCTGGCCAGAATCTGCATCTACTGCCACTACTTTAGTGATCAGGTGACCTGGCTCAGAAGAGCGAGGGGCCAGTTCTATTCCAGTGGAGCCATCAACAGGAGGAGAGGGGTACAGGATCTCTGGCACATTGTCATTCTGGTCCAAGATGTAAATAATAACAGAAACACTGGAACTGAGTGATGGGGATCCACCATCCTGAGCCTTAACTTGAAACTGAATCTTCTTAAAATTTTCATAATCATATGAGGCTAATGCATAGATAGCTCCTGTCTCAGAATTAATGGAGACATAAGATGAGAGATATGATTCGGTTGTCTGGTTTCCAGTGATAGAATACCTTATTACTGCATTCTTTTTCCAGTCTGGATCATTTGCTTTTAAGGAACATATCAAAGCACCCATTTGGTTATTCTCTATGACATAGAAAGGATAAATTGATTTCTCAAACAATGGAGGGTTGTCATTTGTGTCTAAGATGTATAGTTCAATTACTGTGGCTGTTGAGAGAGGAGGTATTCCATGGTCAGTAACCATTATAGTTATATTAAAAGCTGGTATCTGTTCTCTGTCTAGGGTGTTATCTGTCATCAAACTATAAAACCCATCGGAGGACTTATTTAATTGGAAAGGGAGGTTGTCTGGAATGGAGATTGTGATTTCACCATTGACTCCAGAATCTCTATCTCGTACATTTAAAATGGCAATAACAGTTCCGGGTGGTGAACTTTCAACTACAGAATCGGTGACAAACGTAATTGCTAGTTCAGGTGCATTATCATTCAAATCTGTAATGAAGATAACAACCATTGATCTATCAGTAAAACCTCCCCAATCTTTGGCTTGTACTTCAAATTCATAGAAAGTTGATTCTTCATAATCAAGATTCCCAATGAGTGTAATTTCCCCCGTTGTGGAATTAAGGTGAACTATGGGAATATCTAGTTTTGTAGTCCTTTTCAGGAAGTATTTCACCTCTCCATTAAGCCCTTCATCAAGATCAGTGGCATGTACAGTAGCAATAATAGATCCTTTAGGAATATTCTCTTTGACATTCACTTCATAGATTGGTTGGCTGAAAACAGGTGCATTGTCATTTGCATCTAAAACAATGACTTTGATTTCTGCAGTGCCAGTTCGGATAGGATCTCCTCCATCACTAGCTGTAAGGATTAGATTATAAACAGCTTGTTCCTCTCTGTCTAGAAATTTTTCCAGTATCAGTTCAGTATGTCTGAAGCCATTTTTTCCTATTTGTGTATCCAGAGAAAAATGGCTGCTGCCTCTGAGTTGATAGCTCTGTATAGAATTTGTTCCCAGATCTGGATCTTGAGCTTCAGAAAGAGGGACCCGGAATCCAGGTGTAGATGCCTCACTGACTTCCAACTCTTGTTCCCATAGAGGGAAATGGGGAGCATTGTCATTTATGTCAGTAATTTCCACCTCAATTGCATAAAGCTTTAATTTACTTTCAAGAAGAATCTGGAACTTCAATATACACTTTTCTACCTGTCCACATATTTCTTCCCGGTCAATTCTCTCAGATGTTTCTAAATGACCACTGTTGACATTAAAAGCAAAATACTGGATCATACCTACATTGAGAATAATGCGGAGTCCATTTTCTAAAATCTTCATCCCCTCCATTTCCAGGTCCTTTGCAATATTTCCCACAAAAGAGCCTTTGTGCATCTCCTCAGGAATCGAATAATGAATCTGCCCAGAAACCATCTTGCAAGCAAAAATAATAGCAAGATATTGAAGGACCCCCTTTTTACAGCTGTAGGTTTGTGTGTCTTCCATTCTCTCGATGAAAACAGTTACTTCAAAGCCAAATGGAAAATGCACCTCTTGGTTTTTAGATTGTTCTTTCACATACTTGGTAAATGTACTGTATGTAAAGCATAGCAACACAGGACTCTTTTGACTTTTGATTTCTTTTCCTTCCTGGTGAACAGTGACACCCAGAGGCTCAGCTCAGAATGACAGAAAGCTTTCTACCCAAGTACTGTTTGATCATTGCTACTAAAATTTTTGAATAAAAGTGAAATCATATCTTATCTATTATATAAAGAAGCCTTTGAAATAAAGATGTAAGGGGGACTTTATGTTAATTTCTATACTTTTCTACTATATACAGGACTTATCTATTTTTCTCTATTCAATCCAACAGAAGGGAAGCTGGAAGGGCATTGTGATTCCTGTATTAAACGGACTGACTAGAATAAATATTTTGTAGTTTACCAAACAATGCCATCCAGTGTGTTTTAGAAGAAGATTAGAAGGAAAACAAGAATTGGAAATTGCTGAGTGCTTCTTGTTTAATTGAAGTTAGTAAAGCCAAGAATCTATACAAACATTTAATATGAATAGCTTGGTATACATTGCATTCAATTAATGTTTCTCATCTTGTACCCAAAAATTGTCTTCTCCCCTGTCAGGTTCCTCATTGTAGGGCACAAAGAAGCAACAATTACACAGACTTCAATAAGCTATTTTAATGGACAGATTATAAGTAAAGTACAGAAATTTGGAACCTGCTCCTGTAGTCATTATTATTAGAGGATTCATAAAGATAGTCTTTTTGAATATTCTGAATCTCTTCTTCCTAAAAGCTGAATTGTGCTGGCCTTTCTCCCAGAATTATTAACAAACTCTTATCCCATCTGTGAGTTGTTTATGTCTAGTATAGTCTCATTTCTCTGTCAACTTCCCTACAGTCCTACACATTCACCATTTTCCCATTCACTTCTCCTTGTCTTCCTTTCATCCCAGAACTTTCCTTCCTTCCTTCCTTCCTTCCTTCCTTCCTTCCTTCCTTCCTTCCTTCCTTCCTTCCTTCTTTATTTTCTCAACACTAGTCATCCGTCTCATGCCTCTAAATCTCATGATTTCTTGTTTACTATTTCTATTCTATTCTGTTCTATATTTTTTGCATACACATTCATTGTCTTCAGTTCCAACCTTTCAAAAGAAGAAATGCTAAACAAGTTAATAATATAGATATACCAACACATCTATAAAAAGCTGATTTTTTTCCAGTTAAGTATGAGTGACAACATTAATAAGACAAGAGGCTCTAAAAGGTTGTACTGCCATGTACCACTGATAGATAGGATTAGTTTTTTTCATTACCTTGTCATTGAAAATTCAAGAATCTGATTCAAATCTAATCCAGTTTAATTAAAAGTAAATTGAGAATTACAGGGGTTTTGGAATCATCCATCTTATTTACCACGGATCTGGCATTAGTCAGAAAGAGGCTTGGGAGCGGTAGCCGCTTCGTTTGTTTTTGCAGCCTGTACAAAACACCAGTCCTGCAGCCTCTTTTCTTGCCCCTTTCTCTTCGTCTTCTTTTCCTTTTCACTGGAGCCACAATCCACAGAGAGCCAGGGAGCCTTGCAATCTCTGATGGTATGTTATGTTTCCAAACAAACTTAGCTGTTATCTCTTGTTTACACTGCAGTCCAATCTTCATAAGCTCACAATTGCTGTAGAGTATGTTCACCCCGCAGGAGGTATTCACAATACAAGATAATCCACACAAAAACATCCATAAAAAACGCCAAGTCGAAGAGCACTGAGCTGCAGCATATGAATGCGCGGCCATCTTACAAGATTCCAACTTCTGCTCTCAGTTGGCTTGGGTAGTATAATTTTGGGCCCCAGGTCCAACTAAATAGGCTTAGTTACATTTTAAAACATGGGAGAAAATTTCACTCATCAATGCCAATTATATACACTGAGTGCCAGTATTGTCAGTAGAATTACAAGTAAGGTATGTAATTTTTCCCTACTTTGCCTGGACAAGTTCTTTGTGAAGTCTGGAGCATGCAAAGCCCATTTCCCAGGCCATCTTTTCTCCAGGAGTCAAGGAAAAATGTGAGGGGTTACCTTAATTGCAAGGTGTGTAACTCTAACAACTGGTTCTCATGAACTACAGAAACTGGCTGGGTAACACCCCTGAACTAGTGTACCTAATGCTACAGGATCATTTCCAGTCTTCTTGAACAAGAACTGTGCAAAGTTCTCTGTACCAATAAAGGAGAATATTTGTGGCTCAGAGTTGAAATGGAAGTGGTGGTAATGTCCCTTGGTGCTCTCTGAGCTTGGTTGTTTTCTTGCAGACACTTGATTACCCTAACTAGATAAAAAGAAAAATTGAAAGAGGAGCACATAATTAAGGCATCATATCACAAACAGCCCAAACTTGCAAAGATGAAATCAGGAAAGCTGATGCACAGAATGAAGTAAGACTTGCAACAAATGTCAATAATAATAATAATAATAAAGATTCTTTCAACATATAAAAACAAGAAAAAAGTAAAAGAAACAACCAGTCCACTAATGAGAGTAGATGAAAAGGAAATAATGGGCAGTAGTGAGACAGCAGAGCTGCTTAATTCGTTATTTGCATCTGTCTTCATACAAAATGATAAAACACTCCAACCTACCAAAAATATAACTGTAAAAGATAGACTAGGAATACAAATTAAAATAAGCAAGAAAATGGTAAGAGAACAACTGTTTGCTTTAGTTGAGTTCAAATCACTGGGACCTGATGGATTAGATCCCAGAGTTCTGGGGGAGCTGGCAGATGTGATCTTGGAACCATTGAACCATAACATTCAAAGATCCTAGAGCACCAAGAAACTACCTGAGAACTGGAAAAGAGCTGATGTAGTTCCCATCTTTAAAAAAAAGGGAGGAGGGGGAACTGATCTATGAAACTACAGACCAGCCAGCTTGACATCAATACCTGGGAAGATCCTGGAAAAGATTGTTAGATCGGGTACAAAAGAGACGCAAGACCAGTGTACTTCAAGCTCTTTATTTTATGTTAAGATCTGTACAAGATCTTGGAGCCGTGGCAGCCCTCTAAATAGGGATTGCTCGCGGCTCGCTGGCCAATGACAGGTCTTTGAATCTCCCGTGATCAGCTCAGCCAATCGCGGTTGATTCTCAGAGGACCAATCACAGCCGTTCAGTGGACCAATCACAATGCCGTTGGTGTGGACCAATCAGAAGTCAGTATTTGGAGTATGTTAATACAGAACACCCCTTCCCTCTTGGTTCAGTCCTATGTGACGTAGTCGCACAGGTAGGCGGGGCTCTGTACTTGCCTACTTGACCTGTGCAGCTCAGTTGTTGTCTGGTCGTCGGCCGGTTTGGGTGGACTTCTTGTCGCTCTCATCCTCCTCGATGGAACCACCTGGAAGGGTGAGTCAGGCCTATCACTGCAACTCCCACCGGTCTACCCGAGTCGGTCGAGTTGTCAGCTCGGCTGTTCCCACCTGGTCTTTCTGGGCTGGTTGAGCTGGCTTGGCTGCTCCTTCCAGGTGGAGCACCCTGTTACTCGTCTGCTGCTGGTTCCCTTCTGTTGATGACGTCTACTGGTGAGTATTGCTGGTTTATTTTGGATTGGGGATGTTTGGGTTGTGTTTGGGAATTTTCTTCTTCTCTTTGAGTGCTTGGGGCTCCCCCCCCCTCTGGTTTCTTTATTGATGTTTATTTGTGGTGTTTGTGTGCTGTCCGTGTTGTCGGTGGTTGTTCTCGACCTTAGTTGGTCGATGTGCCGCTTCCAGCTTCTCCCGTCGTTTGTTTGTAGTCGGTACGATTGGGGTCCCGTTACTTGGGTTATTTTTGCCGGTACCCAGAGTGGGTCCCCTGTGAAGTTTTTTGCATAGACTGCGTCTCCTGGAGCAAATATTCGGTATTTGCTTGATGAGTCTGGGGGTTTCTCAGGGTTGTATGTGGGGTGCAGTCTGTCTAGCTGGGACTGTAATTTTCTGCCCAGCAGTAGTTCTGCCGAGCTTTTATTTGTCGTTGTATTGGGTGTTATGTGCTGTATTAGTAGCATTTTATTTATTTTGTCCTGTATGTCCCCGGTTTCAATTTTTTTCTATTGCATTTTGTGTGTGACAGACCATGAATTCCGCCCGCCTATTCACCACCGGATGAGCGGGTGCTGTGAATGCATGCCGTATGCCCCATTCCGCCAGGAATTTTTTGAATGCTAGTGCGGTAAATTATGGTCCGTTGTCTGACACTAGCACATCTGGCAGTCCATGGGTGGTGAACAGTTTGGTTAGTTCCTTGATAACGGCCTCTGTGGTGGTGGATTTCATGACGCTAACCTCCAGCCAGTTGGAGTAAGCATCGACCGTTATTAGGAATGTGTGCCCTTTTGTAGGTCCGGCGAAGTCTATATGGACCCTGGACCATGGCCCTCTGTGGGTCTCCCATTCCAGAATCGGCGCAGAGGGGGGGGGGTTGGTCTGGCTTTCTGGCATTTTCTGCATGAGGCCACCCAAGTTTCAATCTGCTTGTCCATCCCTGGCCACCAGGCATAACTCCTGGCCAAGGCTTTCATCTTGACTATGCCCGGATGCCCCTCATGTAACATAGCCAACACTCTTTTTTGTAGTGTTTCCGGGATCACCACCCTGTCCCCTCAGAGTATGCAGCCCTTCTGTGTGAACAGCTCGGTCTGCCGGGTTCTGAAGGTTTTAAACTGCTCACCGCCGTCGGTTTCCGGCCACCTTTTCTCCACCCAATTCAAGACTCGCGCCAGCCATTTGTCTTTATTAGTCTCTTTGGCAATGTCTGACGTGGTCAGGGGTGGGTTGGGTAATGTCTCTATATGCACCGCTGAGGTTGTGGGCGCTGGGTCGTCTTCCAGGTCAGGCAGGGGGAAGCGGCTCAGTGCGTCTGCATGCGTGATGTTTTTTCTGGGTCGGTGTGTCAGCTGGTAGCTTTAGGCGGCAAGGAACTCGGACCACCTTGCCATCCTAGGTGACAATATGTTCGGGGTGGCCTTGTTCCCAGCCAGTATCCCTAGTAGCGGTTTATGGTCAGCTATAATTGAAAAGGTCCTACCGTATAGGTATTCATGGAACTGCTTCACGCCGGTGATTACTGCTAGCACCTCCTTGTCCAGCTGGCTGTAATTCCTTTCGGGCTTGGATGATGTCCTTGAGAAAAAGGCGATTGGTGCTTCTCTCCCATCCGGCAGAGTGTGGCTTAGGATGGCTCCCACACCAAAGGGTGATGCGTCGCAGGTCACGGTCAATGGTCACTGTATTGCATGAGGACTGCGTCTGATGATAGTAGGTCCTTTATTTTCTGGAAGGCGTTTTCCTCTCACTTACCCCAGGACCAGGTGGCTGTTTTGTCCAGCAGCCTATGTAGGGGTTCTGCCATGGTCGCCTTCTGGGGCAGGAAAACATTGTAAAAATTAATAAGTCCAAGAAAAGCCTGTAGCTCCATTTTATTCCGAGGTCTAGGGGCTTCTTTGATGGCCCTGACCTTTTTTTCTGTGGGGTGTATTCCGTTTTTGTCCAGTAGGTACCCCAGGATTTCTACTTTCTCTGTGCAAAGCTAACATTTTTCTTTTTTAACCTTTAGCCCGGTTTCTTTACATTTCTGTAGGACCTCCCTTAGCTGGCTTTCCAATTGTTTTTTATTTTTAGCGGATACTAATACATCGTTGAAATAGGGCACCACCCCTTTTATTCCTTGTAATAGTCTTTCCATCAGACTTTGGAATACCCCTGGTGCCATGCTGACTCCAAATTGGAGTCTCTTGCATAGGAAAGCCCCCCCGGTGAGTCACGATGGTTTGCGTCTCAGCAGTCTCAGTGTCGACTGGCAGCTGCTGATATGCCTGTGCCAGATCGAGTTTCGCGAAGACTCCCCCCCCCCAGTGAGTGTAGGAGGTGCTGTACCACCAGGATGGGGTAGGCACTCAGCTTCAGCACAAGGTTGAGGGTGGCCTTGTAGTCACCACAGATCCTCACGGACCCATCCGGCTTGATGGGAGTGACTATTGGGGGTTCCCACCATGCGTGGTCTATCAGATCTAGGACCCCTTGTGCGATGAGCTTGTCTACTTGCTCATCAATTTTGGGTTTGAGTGTAAAGGGCACTCGCCATGGCTTAAGGTGGATTGGGGCAATGTTTGGGTTTAGGTTGAAAGTTATTGGGGACCCCCGGTACTTGCCTAGGTCGCCATTGAAGACCTCCTGGAAATCCCTCACGAGCGTCTCCCCCCAGTCTGTGTCGGCGACGTGGTTGATGCCAGTCACCTCGATCCCCAATGGCGCGAACCACTCCAGTCCCAGCAGTCTCGGGCGGTCTTTGTCCACAATGGTGAGTGGAAGCACCACTGTATGCCCCTTGAATGCCACATTAAAATGTCCGATCCTGGCCACAGGAATGCGGTTTCCCTGATAATCTTTCAGGGTCAGCTTCTGGCTCTCCAATTCATGTCTGTGGATGGTGGGCACCAGACGCTTGATGGTACGTCAGGAGACCATGGAGAGGTAGGGTCCAGAATCTACCTCCATCCTGCATGGTTGGCCCTCGATACTCACCTCCACGGTCATCTTCCAGGCATCGATTGTGTTCGAGTGCCCGATGATGACCGTCTGGTGGGTCTCCTCTTTGCGCCGGGTCTCATTGAACCATTTGTTTCTTCCGTCTCAGCTCCACCGGCTCTCTTGTATGGTGGTCTCTGGTTCGGGGGGGTGCCGTCTCGTCACTGGGGGCTGTGATTCCTTTTGTTCTGGCATACTTTGGCGATGTGTCCCCGTTTGTCACAGTGCCGGCAAATAGTGTCTAGGAACCAGCACTCCGAACAGGGATGGTCGCCTCCGCACCCGGCACACTGGAACCCCGACTTATGATCTCTCCGTTCCCATCGGTCTCATTCCGCCTGCAGTCTGTGGATCTCCTTCTCTTCGTCCTCGGTTTCGGAGAGGGAGTCAATATCCCCATGGTGTGTTGTTGCGTCTCTGTGGCTGGCCTCTGGTTGCTTTTCTGGGATTGGCATCACCTCTGTGGTTGTTGGGTCAGTTGCGTTCATCTGCCGCATCATTGCCGCTGAGTGTTTTGCTGCCTCGGCGATGGCCTCAGTTACGGAGACATCTTTTCGCGCCATCAGTCGGCTCTGGAGGATGGGGTCCCGTAGTCCGAGGACCACTCGGTCGCACAGAGCCTTGTCCATGTTGGTGAACCCGCACATTCCCCCGAGGTCTCTGAGGGTGGCCACGAAGTCGCTGATGCTTTTGCCCTCCTTCTGATCCCTCCGGTAGAATTCGTGCTGGCGGATGAGGTTGGGTACGGTCGGGGCGTAGTGGTTCCGTAGCAGCTGATCTAGTTCGGTCCAGTCCATCTCCTTCACATCTCGGGGTTTGGCGAGTGCTTTGGCCATTTTGAACACTGCAGGCCCGCAGTGTGTCAGGAACATGCCCCTCTTCTTCTGGTCATTGGCATCTTTCAAGTTGCTGCTCTCAAGGAACATGAGGAATCAATCAATGTATGATTCCCAGTCCTTGGCTGCTTGATCGAAGGGTGCGGGTGGCGAGCTGCTGCCGGCCATGTCGTCGGAAGTTCAGCGTTGGTTCGCCACGTGCTCTGTTGGTCTCTGTCTCACAATCCCACCCTCATCGCCAGTGTCAGATTGGGTACAAAAGAGACGCGAGACCAGTGTACTTCAAGCTCTTTATTTTATGTTAAGATCTGTACAAGATCTTGGAGCCGCGGCAGCCCTCTAAATAGGGATTGCTCACGGCTCGCCGGCCAATGACAGGTCTTTGAATCTCCCGCAATCAGCTCGGCCAATCGTGGTTGATTCTCAGCGGACCAATCACGGCCATTCAGTGGACCAATCACAATGCCGTTGGTGTGGACCAATCAGAAGTCAGTATTTGGAGTATGTTAATACAGAACAAGATAATCAAGTAACAAATCTGCAAATACCTAAAAGCACCCAAACTTATGAATAGAAGTCAACACAGATTTGTCAAAAACAGATAATGCCAAACAAATCTTATTTCTGTCTTATTGACGTCCCAAATGTTCAGCCTCTCATAGAAGTTGAGGAGTAGTCTTCACTGCCACAGTCCACTTAACCTTTTCCTTAAGCATTGTAAATTTGCTGTTTTGTTATTTTCAGAGACACCAGCATACCTGCAAAATCATCTCCAACAATATTACAACTATTCACTTAGACAGAGATCTCCCCCATTAAGTCCCCCTTGCACTCATCTGACAAATTTCTTCCAGTTTGTCTCTTAATCACGGAATTTACTCTTTAGAAACACATCACCTTTCTAACATCTTCTCCTTGCTCAATAGGAAGAAATCAGGTCAGCTGCAACAGGCAGTCAAATTGCTCTCAGAATATACTCCTTATCATTAATACTGTAGTGATCCCTATACTTTAATTCCAAGTAACATATACTCACATATATGACTCAAAATATATAATTCCTCTAGCCCTACTGATCTTTTCTTTGCCAGGTGGAACTCTGCAGCTTGTCTCTTATTAATATTACCTGTTTATCCAGTTGGAGCAACTGTATGAAAAACCCATTGCTTCATACAGGAATATTTATTTAGTCCTACATTTGATTTAGCAGTGCTGCTTCAAAACGTCCATCCTATAGTACTATAGCTTGATGTATTCAGCTAAAAAAAAAGAATACCTTTACCTTCACTAACAGAGGTATCAGGTTTATCCTCACAAAGAATATTCTCCACTATTTGGACGTTGGGTCGCATAACAGTCAGCTCATTTCTCCTGGACTCAGTTGATAAACAGATCTGATAAGAATAAGGCAAAGTCCCATCTTCGTAATTTGGAGGAAATACAGTACCAGACTTCGAATGAGAATTGGGAATGAAGCACTGAAAAAAGTGAGGTTCCTTGACCCTTGAAGTTTCATAATAATAGCCAAAATCACTGCCACCAGGAACAGAAAGGATACCAAAGTCAAAGTCAGAACCAAGTAAAACTGCAGCTTGGACGGATCCTCTGAGTTATTAGGTTGGGCATTCATTTCAGGAAGAGCCTCCTGGAAGTTCTGAGCAAAGACCAGGTTGAGGCTCGTGGTGGCTGAGAGAGGTGGCTGTCCGTTATCCCTCACCATGATGACCAGCCTCTGCTTGGTAATGTCTCTCTCAAGTAATGCTCGAGCTGTTTGGATCTCTCCCGTGTGGGAGCCGATGATGAAGAGCGAGGGCTCTGTGGCCTGCAGGAGATGAAAAGAGAGCCAGGCATTGTGTCCAGAGTCAGCATCCACAGCCACGACTTTTGTCACCAAATAACCTGAATCGGCTGAGCGAGGCACCATCTCAAAGAATGATGAACCCTGAGTTGTTTGGGAAGGGTACAGGATCTGGGGAGTATTATCATTCTGATCCAGTACATGCACTTTGACTGTGACGCTGCTGTTGAGAGATGGAGAGCCTTCATCCTGGGCTTGCACTTGCAGCTGGAAGTCTCTGAGCTGCTCATAGTCAAAAGATCGTTGAGCGTAGAGAGTTCCAGTCTCAGAGTTAATGGAAACATAGGAGGAGAGAGGCAGGTCCTTGACGTTGCTGTTAAGAATGGAGTAGGTGATTTGAGCATTACGATCCAGATCGGGGTCAAAAGCCTTAACCTGGAAAATAGACATTCCGGATGGGTTGTTCTCAGGAACATAGGCAACATAGGAAGGTTTTTCAAATGCTGGAGGGTTATCATTGATATCTGAAATTGGTACTGAGATGGCTTTATCTGTAGAATGAGGAGGTATGCCTTGGTCTGTGGCTGTAATTGTTAAGTTATACACTGGTGTTTTTTCTCTGTCAAGGGGGCCATCTATGAGGAGTTTGAAGTAGTTATCTGATGATGAGACCACCTGGAAAGGTACAGTTTCCCTTAGGTAGCAGGTGACTTTCCCATTAAGTCCAGAATCTCTGTCATTGACTTTAATGAGGGCAATCACTGCACCAGGTAAAATATCTTCAAGAATGGGGCTGGATAGAGATGTAATAATTACTTCTGGAGCATTGTCATTCTCATCAAGAACCTCAGTCTCTACACTGCAATCTGCAACTAGTCCACCTCCATCACTTGCCCGTATTATCATCATATAGCTTCCTCTGTCTTCAAAATCAATACTTTCCTTAAGTGAAAGTGTTCCATCGATGGGATCCAAAATAAAATTCTGATTCACATTTTCTGGATTTTCCCAGAAAATATAAGATATCTCAGCATTTGACCCTTCATCACTATCAGATGCTTTCACTTGAAGCACAGAAGTCCCTCTTGGTGTATTCTCTTTCAGACTTGTTTTGTAAGTTGCCTGGGAGAAGACTGGTGGATTGTCATTTATATCAATAACATTGACTTCTATATTAAGAGTCCCAGTTTTCACTGGACGTCCTCCATCTGAAGCTGTAAGAATCAAGTGGTGTGTGTGCTCTTTCTCCCTGTCCAATGGCTTTTGCAAAATTAATTCTGCATATTTTCTGCCATCTTTGCTCTCTTGAACTTCTAGCTTGAAATACGGGGTTGAGCTCAAATGATAATCTTGAAGGGCGTTGATTCCAATGTCCTTGTCTTCAGCATTTCCCAGGGCAAATCGAGCTCCTGGCAAATGAGACTCACTCACTTCCAGTTTTATATCTTTTTCTTTGAACTGTGGGGCATTATCATTAATATCTAGTATGAAAACTTTTATGTGGAAAATATTTAAAGGATTATGTGCCACAACCTCCAGTTTGAAGATGCAAGTAGGTAATTTTCCACAAATCTTTTCCGGGTCTATTCTGTCATTCACATATAGTTCATTATTTGTTCATCCAGAATAAAATACTGTTTTTCTGAAGAGATAGCAAGCTTGTGTTTTGACAGCAGATCAACATCTAACCCTAAATCTTTAGCAAGGTTCCCCACAAAGGAATATTTTTCTGTTTCCTCTGGAAGTGAGTATTCAACCTGTTCAGATACCACCCAGCTGATCAAAGAACATAATAATAGAAAAAATACTTGCCTCAAATTTGGTTTCTGTATTCTGGTTTTGTATTTTGCTTCCATCATCACCTCTTGTTTCCTCTTTTCTTCCTAATTTATTTTCCATATAGAATTTTCCAGCTAACCCAATATTTTAGAGTTGGATAATAATAGAATAATAGCTTTGTTAAACAGCTTTTAACATAGTGCTTTCTGCTGCATCTCCTTGCCCATCTGCTGAAATATGGAAATGGTTTGCTGCAATACTCATCCATGCAACTTCCTTGCTGTACAACAGTGACACTCAGAGTCCATATGAAGAAGTTCATTAATTTTGCTTTCTAGACAGAGATAGATAGATAGACATAGAAAGATAGACAGAGACAGAGAGACAGAGAGACACAGAGGCAGATATAATAGATTAGATAGATAGCAAAGAAACTTTTCTAAACTCTGTTTTGTTATGGATGCTCAAAGAACAAAGCCCTGATTTTTTATGATAAAAACACTACAAAATTCTATAGTCAATTGAGTGTTATTGTATTGTTCTTTTTTTAAAAAAATGTTTTTATTATACATTTTCATTTATTATACATCACGTTTCCATTTCTGCAACACCAGTGTACTGTTGTATCAAACCTCATTTAAGTGTACATAGTTTTATACACCCTGATTGTAACCATTATTCTCATAATTATACAATATAATTTCTTTTGAATATACATATTATTTTACATCATAATTATAACCATTATTTCCTAGTTATACTACATAGTCTTCACCTCTAGTCACTCTATAGACTATAATCTATAGTCAAGTATAATCCATTAGTAATATTACTTGTAGCATATATACTTATATATCTATATCTATCTATCATCTATCTATCTATCTATCTATCTATCTATCTATCTATCTATCTATTTCTATTTTGTTAATATTTTTCCATCATAAAGTTACTAATCTCTGCATCTGTTTTCTAACCATTTGTATAGTAGATCCCATGTTAAATAACACTGTTTCTTCTTTATCCTTAATTTCATCATTAACCTGTCCATTTCGGCACATTCTAATATTTTTTTAAACACCTTTTCATCTGTAGGTATATTTTCATTTTTCCAATTTCATGCATATATTATAGCTGCTGTTATTACATGTAACATTAACCATGTAATTCTTTTATTGTATTTTCCTGGTAGTATACCTAATAAGAACAGTTCTGGTTTTATATCTATTTGTTGTGCTGTCATTTCTTCTATTCACCTTTTTATCTTTAACCAATATTTTTTTGCCAATGGACAGGTCCACCAGGTATGGTAGTAGGATCCTGGTATCTGTTTGCATTTCCAGCACTCTGGCGATATGTTTTGGAACATTTTTGCCATTCTTGCTGGTGGAAAATGCCACCTATAGAACATTTTATACAGGTTTTCTTTATATGCTGTTGACATTGTGAATTTGTAATTTCTTTCCCACAGTTTTTGCCAATTGTCTAGTTCTATGCAATATCCAAAAATTTTAGCCCATACTATTATGGTTTCTTTTACGTATTCTTCTTCCATTTTAACATTCAATAAGTAATTATAAATTTTCTTTATTAATTTATTGTCTGTTTCTAACAATATCTGATCCAATTCTTGGGGTTCTTTATAAAATCCGTATGTTTCTGCATCTTTCTTATGTCTCATTTGTATTTGGATATGTGGCCACCAGGCCAAATCAATTCCCTGATTTTTTTAGTTCCTGTTTTGATTTTAGGTCCCCTTGTTCATTTATAATATCTTTGTACTTTACAATTTTATCCAGTTCTAAGGCATTGGGATATATTAACACTTCCATCATGGATAGCCAGACTGGTATTTTCATATAGTGCTTTTGTTTAATTTTTTCCCATACTGACAACAGAACATTTCTGATATAGTGTCTTTGGAAGTATCTATGTAGTTTACTTTTCCCGTACCATACATATGTGTGCTACCCCCATTGTAAATCATGCCCTTCTAATTTCAATATTCTTTTGTTCTTCAAATTTATCCACACCTTTATCCATGTGAGCACTGAAGCCTGACAATACAGCTCCCAGTCCAGTAGAGCCCCCCCCCCCCTGTTTTTAGTGTCTTGTAGCATTTTCAATTTGATTCTTGGTTCTTTTCCTTGCCAGATGAACTTTGAAATCAATTTATTTAAGTCCTCAAAAAACTTTTTTCCTACTTTTATTGGGATTACTTGGAATAGAAATAGCAATTTCAATAAGATATTTATTTTTATTGTGGCTATCTTTCCAACCAATGACAGCTGTAGATTTTTCCATTTTTCCAAATCTATCTTTATTTGATTTATTAATATAGTGTAATTATCTTCTTTAATGGATGTGCATCTTGCTGTTGGCCAAATTCCCAGGTATTTAACGTTTTTAGTTGTCTGCATGTCCATCTTTTCCATCAGTTCGTTTTTCTATTTAGTTGTAAGATTCTTTGTCGATATTTTGGTCTTTTCTTTATTAATTTTAAATCCTGGCTCCACACCGAACTCTTCTATTTTCTTTATTAATTTGGGTGCCATTTCTAGAGGTTCCTCCAAAATAAATACTAAGTCATCTGCAAATGCTTGTACTTTGCAGTGTTCTTTTTTTATCTCTAAACCCTTTATATCCAGATCTTGTCTAATCTATCTAAGCAAGACTTCTGAGGATAGTATAAATAAAAGCGGGAATAATGGACATCCTTGTCTATATTAAGGTTTTCTGTTGTTTCTCTGTTTACTATTACTTTCGCCATTTGTTTGGAACATATTGCTTGGATCATATTTACAAAGTTTTCACCAAAAGTCCATTCCTTTCAATTGTAGTATCATGAACTGCCAACTCATATTGTCAAAAGCTTTTTGTGTGTCCAGAAAAATCAATGCTAGCTGTTTTTTGGAATGGGCTTCGTAGTATTCCAATACATTCAAAATGATCCTCATGTTATTTTTCAGATGTCTTTTTAGGTAGGAAACCATTCTGGTCAGGATGTATAAATTTGTTTAAGGTTCTTTTTAATCTTTCTGGAATTATAGAGTTATATATTTTTTAGTCTACATTTAATAATGATATTGGTTTGTAATTTTTTATCTGTTGAGGATCTGTGTCTTCCTTTGGTATTAATGTAATGTATGCTTCTGTCCAAATTTTGGGAAGCTTGGCTTTGATAGTACTTTGTTGTAGACCTCCAGCATTGACAATCCTAGTGCTTCTTGTAGGCTTTTATAAAGTTCTGTCAGAAGCTCACCTGGTCCAAGTGTTTTATTGTTTTTTTGTCATTTAATTGCTTCTGTTATTTCCATTGTCATTATTCTTTCATTTAATATTGTTCTCACTATCTGGTATTTTGGGTAGACCAGCCTTTGCCAAATATTGTTTTATTGTATCTTCTAATATTTTCTCTTGACTGTAGAATTTCCTAAAGAATTCCCGGGTTATTTTCTTTTTGTCTTCATTCTGGTGATAGAGGATCCCCTTTTCATCTATCAGTTGGTGTATCATTTTATTCTCTTTCCTTTTTTTCAATTTGTACACTAGCCATCTACCTGGCTTATTTGCACATTCAAAAAAGTTTTGTTTTGCCATTTTAATTTTTGTGCCATTTCATCTTGCACTATTAGGTTCAGTTTATGTTTTATTAAATCAATTTTCTCTTTTCTCTTTTTTTTGGGGGGGGGGTCATTCTGCAACTCTATCTCTAGTCTTTTAAGCTCTTCTTGTAGTGAATTTTGCTGTTGTTTCTTTTTCTTATTTCTTCTTTTTTTAAAAAAAAACAAATTTTATTAATTTTCAAAGAGAGTACACAAACAAAACATAAGACATAAGAACATAAAACATCTTTTCTAACAACTACTTAACAAAACAAATAAGACATCTCATTTAAGTACAATATAGTTCTAAATTATCACGTTTCCACACACAATTTAATATGCATCTTATATATTCAACTTCATATCTTATTAGTTTTCCACCTTCTTACTGTTTCTTCCTTTATTTCTGTTCAATTTTATTCATTAGACTTATACTTTCATATATTTCATATTACTATATTTCATATTGTTACTATTTCATATGTTCTTATCCAACATCATTACTCCTCAATAGACAAACATAGACTAACAAAACACATAACATAAAAACATAAAACTTCTTTTTAGAAAGCGGCTTAACCCCGGGTTATAACTTTTTGTACAGACGTAAATCAAATTCATGCTCACCTTATATACTATTTCATATCTTATTTAAAATTCTACATTTTGCATATATCTTCTCCCCTCTTTTCACTCTCTTAATTCTATTTTATTTATTTAATCTCAATTTAAATCATTACACTTGTATCTTTTGTCCGTTCTTTTTCAATTATCCATTTATCTTTCTCTTAAACACAAACTTTTTCCTGTAATGACTGGTTGAAGTATGACACCTTTCTATTTTCCCCCCAAATTTAACACTTAAAATTAGACATAGTTTCTATTCTGATTCTGCTTAGTACATTCTACATAACATTTTAAAATATAAAACATAATAATCTTATAGTATATTAAAAATAGTGTTCCAGAACAAATTAGTTAATTAAACATTAATTACACAATCCCTACAGTATTCTATTAACACATATTTCAAATACAAATACTAAAATACAGTCTTGTGTACTTTTGCAGAATCTCTATTTACATTATATTTTACCCTTTATCTCTGAAAAAAAATGTTTATTAACATCTTGTTTTAAGTCTTTATAACTTCCCTTCGCTTTGTCCCTTCCTTCCTTATCAAATCTAACCTTTTTACCCCCCCCAATCTCCAACTTTTTAATCTCCCCTCTCTGTTGTATTCCTCTTTTCTGTTGCTTTCTATCATTACATCGATTTTTCACCTTACTTTTCCCTTTCTTGATTGTTTTTTTAGAACTTAAATTCTTGATTTTCTTCTCCTTTTTACCCTTTTTTAAAATCATATGTCCATTAAAGATGGCTTCTTCTTCATCATCCCAGCCTTTTTCTTGTTGCATTTCCTGGTAAGCAGAAATCACCATTTCTAAAAAGCAAAAGATAGATCCAAAAGAGCCCTCTTCCTCTTCTCTTAGTCTTTCAAATTGCATTTTCAGTTCTTCAACAGATACCATTGTAAAAAAAAATAATTTTTTTTAAACAATCCAAATGTTTTTTTAGTCTTTCAAAAGATAGTTAAGGTCCCAAAGTCATCAAGCAATCAAAGTCAGCACAGTCAGCACAGTCTGTTTCACTTTCTTCTACTTTCTCTTCCTGGGGCAGAATTCAATTACACAATTCCAAGGCATTTTTTGGAAGTTTTATTGTGATTTAATCTCTAATCTTATAAAACTCCAAGCAGTCTCCTTCAACAAACGTTAGTATAAATCATTTACCTCTCTTCCTTCCCACTTAAAGCAAAAAGATTTAAATTTTAAAATATCAGTGTTTAGAAATCTAATGTCCCCTTGGCTTCAATTTTGAAAGTTAGTACCTTCTACTGCCAAAGTGGGTATTTCCGATTTCCATCTGCTGTCTCCGTGGGAAGGAAAGTGAGGAGAGAAAAAACTTTCCCTTTACTTTCCACCACAGCTTAACGATCCTCTGGGAAACAATGTATCACTTAAAAAGCCAAAGTTCCAGGGTATTCAGATGTTAATTGTTGTCCCGGTTCAGCCAAAAGCTTTCTCTGTCTTCACTTCCTCCAGCACATAACTTGTCCGGTTGAGAGGTTCTTTGTGACAGCCATTACTGACCGTCACTCCACCACCTTTGGAAAAGGGAGTTAAGCCAGCTGAGAAGGGGGGGTGCAATATTCCCCGACCCCTGCCCAGATCCCCCCTCTCTTCAGCTATCCCTACAGGATAACTATAGCCTCCTAATCCAATTGCATCGAAGGCACTCCAGCAGCGAGCACAGCAGGAATCGTGCACAAACACGAATTCCTGCTGCCTCCGAAGCCTGTCAAACCGGAAGCATCTCTTATTTCTTCTTGTATGTATGTTATCGCTAACCCTTGAATGTATGCTTTTGCCATATCCCAGACATT